CCAAAGAAATCAATAGATGTCGTAGAAAGGTCAAAATTCGAATGTAAGAGAATGTTCCTATCACCAATGTGATGATCAAAGGGATCTTGATCAAACCCTGTATTTCAGGGTTTCCATCGATTGATAAAAATTTCGATCCACCCTTTTTAATCTATATCTTTACTTAATTACTTTAACTTCTTAAAATATAAAATAGAAATTTAAAAAATTCTTCTCTTTCCCAGGGAAAATCAATAGATTTCATAGAAAGATCAAAATTCGAATCTAAGAGAATGTCCTTACCACCAAAGGTGTCGTAATTTTAATCACACCCTATAAATCGTGTAATAAAATTTCCGATCTAACACTCTCATCCTAATCTACATTTTTACCTAATTCCATTGAGTAAATCATTTTCCAAATCAATTAACTCCTCAAAGAATAAATAGAAAAATCAAAAATCGAATCTAACAGAATGTTCCTATCACTAAAGTGATGATCGAAGGTGTGGCAATCTTGATCACGCCCTATAAATCGACTGATAAAAATTTCAATCTCTCACTCCCTTCCTAATCTCCATCTCTATTTAATCCCGTTGAAACGTTAAATTCCTGAAAACATGAAATACAAATTTGTTTCAACTATAAAGCATTTTCCCCCTCCCTACCGAAACTTTACAAATATCGAAAAATTATTAAAAATATTAGAGAACGACATTGTCAAATAAAACTCCTTTCTTTCTTTCTTTTTCTTATTTGAATGCTAACAGACGTCTACTTTGGCGTTCTCCAAACGAAATCCATCTATCACGGATCAAAAATAGAATCCAGAGACATGTCTGCACCACCGAAAAACTGATCGAAAGCGTAATACCTGTCTTCCCGATCCTCGTATAGATCATCGACCCAAGTATGATCGATGGTGCGCGTGAAGGGTAGGATTGGCAAGGTCTGGACAACTAGGGTGCAGCTTCTCCTCTGTTATCGTATTCCACAAGCGTGAAATTTGCAGCCGGTGTCGGCTGAAGCTGAGAATCGATGAGACCCGCGTAATCCCCGGGAAAAAGGGCGTAAGCGTTCTCTCGTAGCCATGTTCCAGCAGCAACGCGATATTTCGTTGATCTCGTGCAGCTTTTCGCACGATCCAAATGCCAACGAAAAATCGGAAAATCGGCTAGAAAATGCGGAAAAAGAAATGAAATGCGAAACGGACCGGCACGTATACGCGCGCGCGCGCGCGTGTTGGGTTGCTCGTGAACGATCCATGTGTGTATATATATGGTTCTTTATTATTTACATTCTTGCTTATTGGCGCATCATTCATCAGACACTCGCTCGCTGACAATTTGTATGCTAATATTTATGCACGTGTTTCTGCGCGTGTGTCCAGGGTGTCTGTGTGTACGTGTACGTCTGTGTGTCCGTGTATATTCATTTATTTATTTATACTCGTATTTATATATATATGTATCTGTTTATATTCCCTTCGTATGTATGTATGTGTATATATATACATATATATATGTATAGTACTCCGTAACGTGATAAAACGTCGTTAAAAAAGTCAGTACATCGTTTGTTAATGCTTAAAAAACCTTAACTCGCGCTACATTAATTTATGTTTCGTTTTCGACAGTGCATAGTAGGATTGCAAATCGTGATTATTCCACCTTAATAGCTCTCCACTAACTTATAGTGCACACGCGCGACTGACTCGCGCGAACGTACGCACACGCGTGGCGACTCGTCTCGCGCGAGGGAAGACTCGTTCTCGACCTTCTCTCCTTCCTTCTCTCTCTCTCTCTCCCTCTTTCTTATTTTCTTCTTTTTTTTCCCTTTTGTACTTTTTTTCAATTTTTTTGTCCCTTTTTTCTAATTTTTCATCCGCTCCAACTACCTCGTGCGAACCTTACCTCGATCACGATCGGCGTAATAGCGATCGATAGGATCTCTGAACACGCTACGCGGCAAGAGACGCCGAGTGACGAAAGTGTGGATACATTCGATATTTTCGTTTGCTCTCTCTCTCTCTCTCATTCTCGCACGCACTCGCTGTCTCACTCTTGCTCTCTCACTTTCCCCGCGTTGATCGTCACCGTCAACGCGGCTGTGCAGATACACAGAGGTAATCGTAATGCGAGGTTACTTAGATTCTCTGCCTCAGTGCTCCATTCCCCGCCCCTTCGACATCGCGTGCCCCGCCTGCCTCGCTCGTCTTCCCGTTCTCGTCGTCCAACCACTCCGATCGCTTTCCCTCGAACAGGGAATATCGAACGAACAGGAGAGAGGATGGAGAAAGCAAAGGGGAAAACAAGGAAAAAAATCGGATTGAAAATTAATCGTTTTTCGGGGAAGGAACCGCGAAGCTGTTCGAATTTCGCGCGACATCCAACACGGAGGACGCGTGGACCCCGTAGCGCGCGAAGGATCATGGAAGAAGGCTACGTGTAAATGAGTGGCAGAATGGCGATACGCTTCTCGATGGGTATACAGTACCTGCATGTACCAAAAAACAACAGTTACAACTTATAACAATCCTTTTATTCCTTTTTATTTTATTATTATTATTTATTATTTATTATTATTATTTGTTATTTATTTATCCCTCTTCTTTTTTCCTTTGAATTATTCTCATCGTTTTTATTCGTTCATTTATTAATTCATTTTTAATAATTCGTTTATTTATCGGTATTTAAAGTGGCACTACGATACGGGAAAAAACCTGCAAACGGATTCTCAACGGTGGAAACATCCCTCGGGAGATGCGGAAGTCGTCTAGCGTTAAATTCGTAAAAGCACACGTAACACACTCTGTTCCGCTAAATCGGCCGAAAAAGGGATGAAAAAGGAAAAGAAAGAAAAAAAAAAAGAAAAAAAGAAAAAGAACATCCGCCGGCACAAGAAGAGAAGTGACATTTCGCGCAACAAAAGACGCGCTCCGTTTCACCTCGTTCTCCCTTCTTCTCCCACCCAGCCCGCAACCTCTCTCGCTCGCACTCACTCCGTTCGCACGCACACCTACTCGCTCTGGCGCATAACGGGTTGCCTCGCACAGGCGCTCACTCGACGCCGGTCACCTCCCTTGTCTCTTTTTCGTCTCATCGCGTCTCGCGTCTTCCTCGTTCGGTCGAGTTCCCCTCGCATCGAGCTCCCCAGTCGATTACGAGAAACGTAACGCGCGAGAAAATCGAGGACAGAACGAGGTACGCGAGGACCCCCCCCCAACGAAATGGCGTTCACACGCGGAAACCAAACGAACTGAACCGTTTTGTTCTTTCTACGCAACGTACGTGCCGTTTTACCCCGTTGGTTCTTATCTCGAGCACCAAGTCCTCTTTTACGGAGCAATCGTTTATGTATATATTCATATGTATATATATATATATATATATAGTGTATATATATACGTTATGTATAAAGTGTGGTTTCCTTTGCACGACGTTATCGCTACATACGTTATCGAATAGTTCTCGTCGTGTTCATCGTTCGCAGTGTCAAATATACTTACAATAGAAATATATTAAAATTGCAAAGTTTCATGGAGTACGCCGCATATCCTGTCCGCGGCGCGACTAATACTCTTATGTATCGGTATCACTTATCGTAGCGTAATCCGCTAACGTAAATCCTGAATGAGGTCCTCCGTATTCTCTATACCGTGTCGCGTGCATGTATCTCTGTTTACTCGTGTTGGCCTGTACCCCCGTGTCCTCTATGTGCATGTGCATGTGTGTCAGTGTACCATGTGAGAGAACGTGTTACGTACGTATATGTATGCGTGTACGTGTGTCGTGTGTTATACAGCGAGAGTCGGGCAGTTGATTTAATTCGTTTCTTACAGACTGACAAGGAACAAAATTTTCATTTCAAATTACCACCCTCGAACGAAACCTCCCGAGGCTATCCTATAGCTCGACTTTCCATAGAAACGGTCCGCGCTCTGACGATAGAAGGAAAACGAGAATCCTTTGGTAAACTGGAATGCCCGACTCCGACTTCAAAGGACTCCTTTGCACTACGCAAAGCGCGATTTTGCCCGTGAATCTTTCGAGAATTTACGTCCGCGACAAACGACTGAGTAAATCGAGGTACGTATCCTCTTCCTGCTCTTTCATCTCGATCCTCTCTCGTCTCCCTGGCGCTCCGGGTTCTTCGTGTCGACGATGCGCTACGGTCGGAAACGAGGCCTCGGCTGTTCGCCATTTTCTCGCTCTATCCTCCTCTTTCTCCTCCTCCTCCTCCTCCTTCGCCTCCTCCTCATCCTCCCCCTCCTCCTCCTACTCCTCTTCGAGCAAATTTCTTCCACGCGTCGATCGAGGAACGCGAGAACGACCCGGAACTGCTCGGCGAACAGCCATCGCGGATCGAGCATCTCTTCCTTCGTTCCCCTTCTCTTCCTTTCTTTCCCCTTCGCTCATTCTCTCTCGCTCTCTCGCTCTCTCGCTCTCCCTCTCTCTCTCTTTTCATCTCGCTTTAAATTTTTTTGCTTTTTTTCTGTTTTCTAGATAGGGCAGTGTTGTGGACGGTTACGGAATCAATGTCCGTAATCCCAAAAATGTTTCCTACAAGTATACATACTATTTAATAAGTACATATTTCAACAACCGTCTTTAGAACTAAGTTTATAAGGTATCGTATGATTTTTTTTTCCCTTTTTATTATGACGCATTCCTCTGTTTTATTATGAAAACATTTTGAAAAAAAATCACGTTTCGCCGCTCGTTTACCGTCGTCCACGGCCTCTCCTCCATTCCCCTGTTCGGAAAGCACGGATCGCAGCTGACGTTCAGAAATCTTTGCCGATCAAACCGTTCCCTACCCTCGCTTCTCCTGCAGCCTACACGCACGACCCTTTCCGAACGTTTCCGAATCGTTTCGAAGACTCAATATCCCCCCCCCCCCACCCGTCCCCTCCGCAGCTCGATACATACTATATTAATAATAACCATTAATAGGTGTATAATCTATCTATCTATCTATCTATCTATCTATCTATCTATCTATCTATCTAGTAAAACAGCATCATATTAAAGTCTATCCTCCTCCTCCTCCTCGTTATCCTCGTTATTCTCCTCAGATTCCTCCTTGTAGCCGGGATGCTCCGAGATCGCGTAGTAGTTCCCGTTGTAAATAACCCCCAGCTCCCGCAACACGTCTCCCCTAATGATAGCCTTGATCGTCCAGTTGTAACACTCCTCGCTCTCGCTCTCGCGGTCGAGCCGCTCCACGTCGAGGATCTTTGAGCTGAGCCGTTCGAGGATAATCCCGATGTCCTTGATGCTTAAATGCTTCTGGTCTACGGTGAGCTGATCGATGAGCAGTAAAAATTTCTCCGAGGTCACGATCTCGTCCTCCATGATCGTGTTCTCGGTCTCGGACTCGGAGCTGTCGTGCTCCTGATGATGATTGTGATGATGATGGAGATTAAAGCCGCTGGCCGAGTTGCCGGCGAGCCTAGAGCTCGACTCCTCGTCCGCCGTGTCGCAGAATCTCACGTGGCCTTTGCTCAGGCCGGTCCGTCTCGTTCCATCGGACAACGAGGATGGCGGCTGAGGCGACGACGTTTGAGTCTGCGTCTGTTGTTGCTGCGGCGGTGGTTGCTGCTGCGGATGCGGGTGGTGATGCTGCTGCTGGTATTGCTGATGCTGGGCATCCTGGATCGGCGAGGTGGCCACCGACTTGTGCACCGCGATCCGACGGCCCTCCTCGTGCAGGGCACAGCAATGGAAGTCGCACTCCCCGCTGGCGCCGCCGTCCGCTCCGTTGACCGGGCTGCCGTTCCTCACCACTGGCTGATGAATGTGGTTCGAGCACTCCGGTGTGTGGATATGGATGGTGGTGCTGTCGAAGGAGTTGGTACCCTGCTTCACCAGGCGGCCTGGGATTCCGTGGGACTGCGGCTGAGGCTGCGGCTGCAGCTGCTGCTGCTGTCGTTACCACGGCGATTTTAATGGTTTGTCTAGATCGAAGATTCGAGGATTTCTCGAGGCTACTACTGTGTATCGACGTCGGTAGACGCAACGCGACTCGACTCGACGCGTTCGAGGCTTCCGGGCTCGAATCGTGCAGCTTAACAGCGTCCTGGATCTCCATGGAACGTGACATTGGCGCTCGGTGTCTCCTGCGCCATCGAAATCGACTCGTTACCCGGAAACCTCGCGTGAATCGGTTCTACAGAGTGAAAAGAACTCGAGATAAAAAAATAGTCACGCTCTCGTACCATGTCGTCATGATTTATCACAGTGATATGGGGGCTGGTGTAGCGACTGGGACCGACATCGGCCGCCAGATGTCCCAGCTTCCCTCCGTAGTTGAGGTTGTCCAGGCTGGTCTGGATGACTAGAGGTGGCCGCTGACTACCGCTCAGATCGGTTTTCTTGGTCGGCGAATACTTGGAGGTCTGTACGTCTTGGCCTTTCTGCTGTTGCTGCGCCTGCGACGACGTGGATGAACGTTGGTCCCAGTGCAGGACCACCGTGACTCGTCCCTTATTGTCCATGATCTTCCACGACGGCGTCTCATCGTGCAGCTCCAGGGCGTGGATCGTTTCGCAGACTATTTTCGGTATGGCTGAAATCGCTGCAATAAGTAGACACAGTGTTACACATAGTTCATCCATCAAGAGCTACCTATTCTACTTTTCTCTATCGTTGCTATACGACCTATCCTCCCTTGTCTATCTCGCGGATTGCAATTTCAACAAATTTTCTTTGCGACAAACGTTCTCTAACCTACGCTACGACGAGTATCGATCTTTCGCCACTCGTTACCGGATACACGATACCCAACGTGGGTGACGCATCCACGCTGTTCGCGAAACAAATCGTTATCTGATCGCCCTCTTCAACGAATCTGCACTTTTGTCTTATTGTACTTATGAATCGATACTCCGTCTTCTATTCATGGAGGACCCGGCATCCTCTGGCTGGCGTCGTTATTATCGTCGTTAAAGTCACTTTGTCGCTGCGTTCGCGTCGACGTCAACGTCGATGTCGACGCCGTAAATATGTTACCTGTCTTTTCACATATTTCACCTTTTATCGCGTTACATGTCTGACCTATAATTTCACGCTTTGTGCGAGTGGAAGCGAGGCTCGTGCAACAACGACCAATCAATCAACGCCTCTTCTTTCGAAGGAGATGCGTCACTTGCCAACCAGTCCAAGGTACGACTCTCTCCTCTCCACTTTGCTCATAAAAATAACTCGACTTTAGATATTTAACGGCAGAAGATAGTTATCCTTGGAGAGAAAAAAAACAATATCGCCTTTGCGCTCGCACGAGCTCGCCTTTTGCCGCTTGTTTACTACTCCCGCGTGAAAGAATAGATCAGAACGGCGAGTCTGGATTTTATCGTTGGAACATTTTATTTAGAGCTACGCTTATACCCGCTACGGTTTTCGCTCCGCTCATCCTATTCGCCTACTTTCCACGGAATCGAGAGCCACGCAAAGCTCCTTCTATCCCCGTTCTCGCTATCCGCGACTTAGACGCTAATTTATAGGCCAATCCTATCAGCGCGCCGCTCTCCCTCCGTGTGTACGATCGCTATTCCTGTGATAGGTACCGGCTCGTATGATGTCGACTCCGGTTGGACACCAACGTTCACCATGCCGTAGCAATAGTAGGATCGTGTTGTTCGCTAGGGTCTTGAAGTACTCGCCGTCCTCCACTTGCGTTCCATCCGATTCCAGCACTACGGAGACATTCTCGTTCTGTGGCACGCCCAATTTCTCCTTACCTAGAAGAGGGATAGAGAAGAACAAGACGACGATTAGTCGGGCTCGAAGGCGGTTGGTCGATATCTACGTTTGAAGCGTCGATTCGAACTACGGAAGGATAGAAAGAAAAGAAAGAATGGTAGACCAAGGCGAAACAGCGAACGAGGTAATATTTATCCGCTGCTCGAGAGAGGAGCCTCGATCACAGCGTTCGAATCGAATCCATAGGGGGGTTTAATTCGATTCGAAGGTGGATGCCTCTCTCGGTGGAAAGGATATTCACGATCCTCCTCGCCTATGGTTCTTTCTTCGAGACCTCGAGAACGCTTCCTGATCGTGTGTTCTAATCTCGTTATCGTTTTCCCCCTTTTTCTCTCTCCTTTCTTTCCTTCTCCCTTCCTTTCTTTTTTCTCATTTCTCTCTTTGTCCGACGACGGCCGACGACGGTTCGATTCGATACGATTCGATTCGACTCGAATTTGGGTAAATGTTTCTGCATAAAAAAAAGCGATACCTTGCGACCAGTAATCCCAATATCTTGTGTGTCGTGAAAAGAAAGAAAGCACGTTATGTATATAAATGTCGTGTATCAGAGGAGCGCTTATCGCGAGAAATCGAGCATCGAAGCAAAGACGACTCCGGTTCGGAGCAAAGGTAGAATCGTCGTGATATACATGTATACTTTCCACAGCGAGTACCAGAGTCGTTACTTTCGCTAGCGGTTTCAGTGGGCTCGCTTCTTACCCTGGTGTATCAGTTCCTCGAAATTGCTAACACACAGTCCCTTTCTTACGTTACGCCAGCTGTCCCATATCTTAAAAGGTCTCTTGCTCCGTAACTCCTGCACAGAAACAAACCGATGCAATTTGCTGCTCCACACTTCGTATCTCCTATCAACCTACCGATTTCATGTTAGAAGCGTGATCGGGCAAACGGGTTACAAGTTCACAAGCTCGGGGGACGAGGTTCGGTGACTATGTTGGAAAAATGGAGGAACGCGACCGGTCGTGGGATCGTGCCGGGGGATCGCTATCGGGGCCCGATGATCGGAGGCCGATTGGAATCCGGATGAAAATGATTAGCAGCCGATCGCGGGGCTCTAGAACGTCTCTCGACGAGCGGATCGCTCTAAACGAGACGTAATTGCGTGTAAAGAAACCCTCGAGCCGCCGTGGAACATGCTTATCGCCTAGATGTTAAGTGGAGTGTCTGCGCCGGGTCAACGGGAAAGTAATTTACCCTACGTATTTTATACGCGGTAACTAAGTAGAACAGACTATAAACAAAGCCTATCTCGCCGGGAAATTATTATCGGATATCCATATATCCTCGCAGCGGCTCGCGCCGCGTCTCTTTTTCCTCGCATTTTCGTTCCTGTTTTTCTCTTCACCGCCCCCTCTTCCGCCCCACGACGCGTATCTTTTACCCGGGGAGCCGTGGCCGTTCCCCCTTAAAATTTATTTAGAACTCGGGGAACAACGACACCGTTATAAATACAAACGAAGGAAACACCGCGGCGGAATTTCGCGGGGGGTTGCCGTGCGTGTACCAGAGGGGTTGGCCGAACGAAGGAAAGTGGGACGTACAGGACCAAAAACAGTATCCCGAGTCCGCTGGCGTGCAAATTGGAGCAAAGTTTGCCGAGCCGGTATCGAGTGTCTCTCAGAGAAAGAGTGCGTGCGAGAGAGACAGAGGCTGCCTTATGCGAACATAGGGTGTGAGACGAAGACGGAAGGATCCGGCTTGAAGTTAGCTGAGATCGCCCGCGAGAGGACCGATCCTCCATGGGGACACACGCGAGAAGTCGATTATGAAAAGGAGGAAACGGAGCTTTTCATTTATCTAAATGATCCTTGAGTACGGTTGCATGGTGCAAAACAGATTGGCGAACTCGAGAGCTGGATGGGGAGGGAGAGATTACTGGATTATCGGGGTTAGGGGGTTCGTGGATGGGGACTCGCGAACGATATTAGAATAATGCGTGCCAAAGAGGAATATTATGTTTGGCTTGTCCCTAGTTTTCAACAGGGAGGCGTAAAGCGAGCAGGGCGCAGACGCAGGCGCAACTTATGGTCGAAAACACTGACCTGATTCAATCATTCTCGGGTAAACGATCAAAAAAAAGGAGAAGAAAGAGAAAGGGCGAGAGAAAAATGGGAAAGGAAGAATGGGAGAAGGAAGAGCGTGGAATTTCGGGGGCAACGGGGCGATGGTGAATATGCAACACTGTTAGGAGGCGCGAGGAACGCAGAGAATCCGATGACAAGGGCCACACGTCTCTCTCTCGTTCGGCGTGTTGCTCTCGGCCCAGAACGGAATTGCACTCGATGCAGCTTCCTCTGAAGCACGTTCTTGGTAAACAATGCCGTAACCGCGCCGGACCGATGTAAACCGGAATCGAGGCCACGCCGATCCCGTAGGATTCCGCGAACGAGAAGAAAGCATAACCTAAAAGTGTAGCTGCGCTGACCAGCGTACGCAGGCAGGTCGGGGTCTGAATCGCGAGCGAGCAAGCGAGAAAGAGAGAGAGAGAGAGAGAGAGCGAGACAGGAATGCAGGATAATGTCTGACGGGATAGGACAATGGTCGAAAGATGTAGGAAGCAGGCGAACGCGAGCGGGTGTTAGAACGAACGCGCTAGCGGTGGGTATGCGGCATTTGCGACCGCAAAATTGTACAGTTCCCCATAGTCTATTCGTGTAAACGCGTGAGCCGCGACGCGAATGCGTAACTGACCGACACACGGCATTTCGACATGGATGGTACACTCGCGACCGAGGCGCGTACACTGATATACACTACGGCACGGCGACGAGAGGTAAGGTGGACGAAACGTCTGGCGAGATCGCGTAGGAAATTTTCAAACGAGACGACGGTTACGACAACGTACGGTTACGGGAGGAAATAACGGGAAGTAAACACAGGCCGCGAATGTAAAGAGCTCGCGAGCGAACAGAAACGATGGGTAATGAGAATGCAATGGAAATGCGTACCTCTCTTGCCATTACGTCATATCCCTGCAGGTAAGGGACCGTCCCAGCAAGCACTTATTCAGAAGGAACGAGTAAAGAAGCTGCACGTCGCATTATCGTGGCGACGGGATGCTCTCGTGCACTACTGTCCGCCCACCCTTGCTTGCGCTCTCTCTCTTTCTTTCCCTCTCTCTTTCTTTCTCCCTTGCGCTCGCTCCTTCTTCTCTCTCTTTTTCTTCCTCGGCCCGTTTCTCTCCGTTTCTCTCGATTTCTCTCGGTTCCGCGCGTCTCTTGCCCTTCCTCTCGCTTTTCTTCCTGCCCGCTTCTCCTTCGACCCGACCCTCGCGCGATCTTCTAACGAACGTTTCTCCGTCTCGTGCACCGTACACCGAAACACCTTGCGATGCGACACCGTTTCTCTTTCCCTTTCTCGCCCTGGCCCTCTCTGTCTGTCAACCTCTCGATCTCGCGCTCGCTCCCTCTTTCTCTTTCTCCTTCCGTTTCTCTTTCTCTCTCTCCGCTTCTTCCTGTTTCTCTCTTTCTCTCACTCGAACTATCTGTCTCTGGCGCGCTCCTCGCGCCTCTCCCTCTTTCGCTTTTCCTTTCTCTCTCTCACTCCCTCTGTCTCTCTCTTTCTGCAGCCGTATCCGTCGGTTTCTCTCTGTTACTCTTTTCGGCCAGCCTCCGTTCGGAGTGATTCGTTCGGTGGATTTCCGCACTGTATCAGCCCGGTATCGGCGTGGCGTATCGCGCGAGCTCGAATCAACGCGCGGGCCGAACGCGAGCGACCACCTCGCGGGAACACCTCATTCTAGCTCCTCTCTCGCCGTACAATTACCCGATCTAAGATTTCACTAGCGCATATGGGGGCAAATTGTAACAGTGGCTTCCTCCCAGCGGTTACTGCGGCGACTCCTAGTTTTAGATCGATTCTCTCTCGGTGTACGTACAGACACCCGCCCCCTCGCCCTCACCCTCACCCTCGGCTCTCCTTCTCCCCACGAGTTCACCCGCAACAACCTCGCCCCACGCGCGCCTCTCTCTTCCGACTGACGACCACTGCCTCCTCGTATCCCCTACGATCTCTTCCCAGTGGCTACCCAGTTCCCGAGTTTGCCAGTTCGTCCCAGACGGTGCTGCCCGCATCCCTTCAGCAACCCTCTAGCAACTCTCTGCGCGGTAACATGGCAATTCTGCATTATCGACTGCTCCGTCGATACGTTCTGCCCCACCATAGACGCACTACAGCATAGATCAACGCGTGACTCATTTCGATGTCACGCGGAGATTTAAATATTTCAGAATTTTCAGAATCCCCATACTCTCCATTGTAATCTTTGATGATTACTTATATATCGCGGCAATTTTACTTGAAACTTGTGTCGTTTATTTATCGTATTAATAGTGCTAGACGAGAAATACCTATAATTTCAACAAAATTATAATAATGCATTATTATAAAACTATCAGAATTTCAATCGAAACATATTTTATTAATTTCTTCCAAATGCTACTTATTCCATTTTGAACTGTACCTTTAAAATGAATGAAATCTAGAGAATCTTAACCCCTTCTCATAGTCAACAACAACGTCGTTCTTGCGAACTGGGCCAAGAATAACACGTAATTGAGCCAGAAAGTCATTGGTGAAAATTGATTAAGAACCTGACCCGCGAATGTTTACGTTTCGCCCGTTCTCCTTACTCGACTCACGCAGTCTGTGCGGCAAATGAACGTGGACTACAATTCCGCCATCCTTATAGAGACAGCGCCCACTACCGGCGAGAGATTGTACACTAATGTACACCCGCTAGTTTTACCATAAAGAAATATTTTTCTACTATACCATCTAATGATTCATTAATTTTTGCACACTTATCAACTCAAAACTACATGCATAATTCTATATCTTTAGTTTCCAGGTTATAATTATGTTAAAATATTTTCATCCTTATATAAAATAGGGATGAATATATAAGCCATTAAATACATAATAGGATTTAATTGTCACTAATATAAGCATTCGACATATAGAAAAGTATTTGTGATCAAATAGAATCTCGTTTCAATCTCCGATTAGTCACTCTGTTAAAAACAAATGTATGAATGTTTTGTGATCGTGTTACCGTGACATTGCCTTGACGACAATAAACGTACCTATAAATAAGGGACGATGAACTCTTGAATGTTTAGTACAATCCTGCACGACATTGGTAATAAATCATTTCATAGGTTATGATTAATATCAAACATCCAAAAATCTACGGTAAACCACCCGTAAAAAAATCTTTCTCGATGAAAGACGTCGAATCAAAGCAGAATACACTTACGGAAGAAACTTTTATGTGCAACAAAAGAGAGATTAATGATTCCACTGTTATGCAGAAAATAGGTAAAGCAGACTGCAATCAAAACATAATCGAAACGACTGCGAGTTCGTTTGAACAACTGTGCAACATAATCAGTGATCTGGAAAAGGACATCACTGCCAAGACTGTAGGGGCGAATCAATTACAGGTTCACAAAACGTACATAGTTACAACGAACTTTTCGACTCGATCGATCACATTGATCGAAGTTTCCATTTTCAGATGAGACCAGAGAAAGATGAATCTGAAGCAATGTACGACACAAATGGAACTACGTACGACGATATAATGTCTTTCTTGACAAAACTCGAAGAGGGTAGCTGATAGTAGTACTTTTTGTCGGTATTAAGATTTCCTTTCCCGTTTTTTCGTGTTTCTATAGATTACACTCTGCAGGTTCTATGGATGAAACGAAGGTAAACTTACCAGAAGTAGATGCTATCATGTTTAGGGAAATATTTGGTGACTCGGAACTTTTGCCTTGCGTCAATTACGATAGGTGAGAGTTTTCATTTTAAAATAGTTAGTTGAACGAGATCGTAAAATTTTGTTTGTCGTTCAGTACTGACCCAGTAAATGTCAACAACGATAACCCCCACGTATTCAAAGAGGATTTAGCTACGGCACATTTGCAACTCGAGGAAAAAGATGCCACTATATTGCTCTTGAGGGAACAGTTAAAGAACGAAAGGAAAGTAGCTTGCGAAAAGTTAGAGAGTCAAAGGAAAAACAACGTTACCAAGTTGCAACAACAAGAAGACAAATATAAAGGGATCGTGAAGAGGCATCAAAAGTTCATCGAGCAATTGCTCTCGGAAAAGACAGACCTAACCGAAAAATGCAATTCGTTGGCGCAGAAAGTAAAAGAGATCGAGATAAAAATGCAACGGGATTTGAAGACTACAGCTGATAGACATGTAGTAGAGTTGCAAAAAGCCAAGGAACATTTTGCCGCGGCAGAGAAGATTAAACGAGAGCGTTGGATAGAGGCAAGAACGACGAAGATCAAGGTTTCGATCACTTACAAGATTTCGCTGTGAATATTTCAACGTCTGAATTTTTCAACGATTCGTAACGCTTTAAGGAAATGACAGTGAAGGGTCTGGAGCCTGAACTACGTAATATGATGGAGCAACACGCCGAGGAAATTCAGAGGTTAAGAAATGTACACATGAAGGAACTGCAGGACACAGAATTAAGAATTATACGTCGATCAAATGAACAGTTAGAGCAACTGCGTCTAGAGTTGACAGGCAGTCATGAAAGAATGTTAACCAACGAGAAGAACATCCTGTGGACCAGGTACAGAATCAATTTTTATAAAGATCTACTTGAAAATATCTCCAAGGTGAAATTGATCCATGTATTTATTCAGGTATCAAGAGAAGCTGGAGGAACAAGAAAATCAGTTTAAAATACAACAAATGAAACTTATGGATGAACTACAACAGGACAGAGAAAAGCTTGGCAAGGAACAAATGAAACGAGATGCAGAGATGCAGTCCAGCTTGCAAAAGATACATTTGCAGTATCAGGTACAGCTGGAACTGAAGCTTCAAGTATGCACTGGTCACGTCGATCTGAGAAACTTGAAATTTTAGCAAGAAATAGAGACACTGAAACAACAACATTCGAACGATAAAAAGATTCTTCAAGAGTCACTGAAGGTTGAGTGGGAAGCTTGGTTGACCAACTATAAGAGACAACAGAATTTAAGAATCGAACAAGCTGAAAATAAAATTAAGGAGGAATCTAAAAAGGAAAGAGATCGACAAATCGAGCTCGCTATCGAACGCTTAGAAAAAGATTCCCGAAATACAAAATTAATGCTTCAACGAAACTTTGATTGCAAGCTTAGGTAGTTTGCAATTAATTCTCTAATGATGTTTCCGCGATTTCGAACGCATAGTTTCATTATTTTTTAGATCTTTAACGGAAAAATACGAAATGGATTTGCAAACCGCAACAGACAATGAACAACTACATAAAGGTAAGTTAATGCAAACAAAAGATAAGCTCGAAAAAACTCAAGTTCAATTGGAACAAGCGGAGAAAAAGTTGCAAGAATGTGTATCTGAGCTAAGTAACGCAAACGAGGTAGGATTTTTTGCAAAACTTTAGATTCATACATCAATGAATTATCGTGTATAGAATGAGAAACGGTTTCTTTAGGTAATCCAACGATTAAATATAGAAAGAAATAATTCAAAGAAATTGGCAAGACAAGAAATCCAAAGTGAGAAGAGAGAATTAGAGGAGAAAATTGCCTCACTTTATCAAGAAATAACTCGTATTAATGTTAACAAAGACACCTTAATGGCTCAGTTACATAGCAGGTTCGATTTGAATGACTGATAATAACACGAGCAATGCTGGTATTTATAATCGTCTTATGTTTTAGGATTAAATTGATAATGACACAGAAAATTCTAACGATAAAAAATTTGACTAAAGAACTTAATGACACAAAACTAAAATGCGAACGTTTGGAAAAGTTATTGGATCAGCAACGACGAGAATACATCCTAAAAGGTTTATAAATGACAATTGTTGTTACTTATTCGATTATATATTTTATTTGTTGTGCGAACTAATATTTTGTATTTTATACAAAATAAATAAAATGATTTTAAATGATTTGTATTGCATTATGATAAAAAATATTGCATAATTTTATACGAAATAAAATAGAAGTAAATTTAAAAGCCACAATGTCTTTAATTGCAAAAGATTGGCTATAAAAATTCATTCCATTTAATTCTCCAGCAGTAATTATATGTAAAATCTTAAATAAAATTATACTTTTTTTACAATCTGTACGACATCCTCGTCACACAATATGTGATCTTTCCCGACTTTTTGTGGCTGATGTTTAACAGACGATCCCCACACAAGAGCACTAAAAATAATGTTGATAAATAACATACATGATAATCGAGAAGAAATAATAATTACAGACAATATTAAAGCGAATACTTACTATTTGAACTCTTTCGCGATGGAACGATGTAGTTTGTTACAAAAATCTTCGACTGTTCGTTTTTCCCTGTTTAATACAACTGGAGAATTATAGTCTGGCAGTTGACCCTTTGGTTTGGTGTAGCTAAATTGATATAAACAAATTGATAATTTATGGAGTATTTGGAAAAGAAAGAAAAAAGTAAAATTAAAAAAATGGAACCAGTTATCACAAAAACTTACATTCTAACCAACTGTAAGTATTCCCACATTTTTTCAAGTAAATCATCAAAGTTCCACTTATGATGGGCAGAAATAGGTACACAATGTGGTATTTTGTAAATAATATCTAATTCCTCAATACTAATCTGATCTAGAATTAAACGAAAAAAAAAAAAAAAATTGTAATCGACAACGAAAAAATTATTCACGGATTTTTAATTTTATTATTACGGTTACCTATTTTGTTGAGCAAATAAATACACGGTATGTAAACACGATTTCCCTCGATAACATCGATCAAATCGTCAGAAGTAGCGTCGTATCGCAAAGTAATATCTGCATTATGAATTCTATACTCTGACAGTATACTTTTCACTGTTTCTAAGTCAAGTTCTGACTGTGCACACTGATAAATAATGCAACCATCTTAGTGTCTCTTACAAAGTGCTGCATGATAAACACCTCAAAAAACTACACATGATTCTGTATAATGTAATAAAAGATATACAAAAATATAGTAATGTTTGATGAAACAGATCGAATCACGTGTAGTTTTCTATATCACTCTTTTCATTGTTTAATTACCGTAGTTTGAAAATTAATTCCACCTTTATCCTTTTTGCGAAAAGTAATGTTGGGTGGTTGTTTGTTTAAACGTAATCCAAAACCTTCTAATTCATGTTCAATTAATCTTTTATGTCCAAGTGGTTTCAATACATCCAGAACAATGAATATTAGACTGCAGGTCCTTGCAACTGCAATAACTTGTCTTCCACGTCCTTTACCATCTTTTGCACCTTCAATAATACCAGGAAGATCGAGCAACTGAAATGTATTAACAAAAAATGTATTAAATGTTTTTTTACAAGTTGCAAGGACAATGTGGACTGAGTTGTATCTATAATAAAATCTAGAAACCTGTATTTTTGCACCCTTATATTTTATACAACCAGGAACAGTAGTAAGAGTTGTAAATTCATATGCTGCAACTTCAGAATAAACACCAGCAAGAGTACTTAGCAGCGTAGATTTACCCACAGAAGGAAAACCTATAATTTGAGATGAAATATAATAAAAGATTGCTCTAGAGAGATACAAATTTTAAATATTTTTTCATACACACCAACGAAACCTATTCTAGCATCACCCGTTTTAGCTACTTCAAACCCTTGTTCTCCACCACCTCCACCACCTTTGGGAGTTATAAGCTCTCGCCTTAGTTTAGCTAGTTTTGCTTTCAATAAACCTAAATGACCCGAAGTGGCTTTATTTTTTTGTGTACGAGCCATCTATAAAAAAAATTATATTATAACATAACATATTAAATATAAATATAAAGCAAAGAGAGGTAAAACAAAGGTTACCTCGGCTTCAATCGAAGCGATCTTTTCTAATATTGTACTCATTTTGGAATAATCGAAAAATTTCTTTAACTTGTAATATACTTAAAACAAGTTTCTCTTAAGCCCTTTCGTGTTCTTCCATTACAAGATTATAGGAATATATCCCTTTGTAAGCTTTGCACGTGCTGACAGGTTAGAAGCACATGCCACGCACAGTTTGAGGGAATCAAATAACATGTAATCTTTAGAAGTATGGAAAAAAACACAAAGCTTAAGGCTAGTTTCCAAATGTAGTACAGAAATTATTTACGTATTTACAATTTGGAGTTTACAATTATTTAAATATGCAGATGTGTAAAAATAGGTAACAGCAACTGTTAATTACTTTTGCATAAATTTCATTTGAGAACATATAAATGTAAGTATTAGAATTAAATACAAATAGCAGTTTTAAATCACCAGTTTTCATGCAAACATTAAGATGCTGAACTTCCGTTTTATTTTAGTATGTTTTAAAAATTTTTTCATTTTTTTAATAGACTGGTTCTCATCAACTTAGGATATTATAACTTAATAAATTTTTAAAGATCGATCTATATTTTTCGATGTAAATTTTTCTGTTTTAGAATTTTTTAATTTCATTTGCAAGCACATAATAAATATCTTCTTCCTAAAACAATTGTAAAATTACAATTTAATATATTTTATTCTTCCATGAAAAAGATTCCATGCCAATAAGTCAGCAAAGAAGTCAATAGAGTCAGTTTCGAAATCAATGCCATCTATTGAGAATATAAATTTCGTCTAAAAAACGCTAGAAGTTAGTAGGAATATAGAATATATAAGAAGGTAGCAAATGCTTAATCCTCTTAATTCTATAGATTGCTAAACGTCATGTACAAAGGTAGCAACAGAGCTGGCGTTGAGATAAGTACCATCTATCAAGAACCACCATTTTGACTAAAAATCTCCCAAGTTAACAGGAGCGTAGAATAAGCGAGGAGGTAACAACTCCTGATATAGTTCACCTTACCCAGAGTCGATTATTGAATAAAGATAGATATACTTCTCACTTCAGTTACATATAACCTGTAATTAGTCTATGGCCTTTTAGAATTATATCTTAAACAATAATTGTAAGGCAACTTTTTGCATATCTTTTTATCAAATCTTTTTCGCGAGTAACATTTAATCACATTTTTCTTATTATTTGCTATAATCGCTTTAATGCAGTTGTATAATAATTTTTTCTATTGTCACACATTTACATGATTTTTCATTTATTTTCAATAATTACCGTAAGACTTTTAATTTATTAAATAATATTAATTTATTAAAAATGTGTTTTAACATTCGGAATAATCGTCGTTTTTTCTACAAAGAAAATTATAGAGAATATGATGAAAAGCTTAATTTGAACCCTTGACTTTTATTTTATTACAATATTAATCTTGCTGGTGGACAGTAAATAGGGTAACAGGATACAATCTTCATTTTGAAGACTGTTCACTATAAACACAATCTTTAGAAAATTAATATCAATAATAATCTAGGTGATAAATTCATACAATTTATATGAATATAAAAGTTTATATATAAATTAATTTTGCTAATGCATTTTTATAACTTCTACAGTTTTGGACAATTTATGAACACTATAACCACCTAGCGGCAAAATAATGATACTAATCGGCATTACCGGCATTACGTATTAACGAATACTAATTTCTCGATTATTCAGCATTTTTTTTAATGGATCATAGCTAAAGTGGTTAGAACAATGTACATATTAATTTGGGTTATTAAGAATTATAGAATATTGTCTAAAGAACAAGAAATACATTTTTTCTTTCAATCCATTATTGAAATCTCTTTCCTTCTATACTTGTTCTATATTCCTGTTATATTCTAGTGATTTTCAGTCAAAATGAAGATTACATTGATAGATGCCTTAACGCTAATTCAGTTGTTACCTTACATGCGACATTACATAGTAAAGCAATTCGAGAATACTAAGCTCCTGTCATTTCCTTATTTATTTTATATTCCAACGAACTCCTGGTATTTTTTAATCGAAATTTATATTTGCAACAAAGAGCGTCAATTTTGAAACTAACTTTGATTTCCTTGCTTAACTTATTGACGATTCATTGGATACATATAATGTATATATTAATAATATTAATTATATTAATAAGCGATTAATAAGCGAAAAGATATACTAACGTAATTTTTATTTTATTGGAGAGTAAGATATAATCAGTTTTAATTTTTAAAAATGTTAAAATAGATAATATGAAATAAGACTTTTCTGTAAAATAAAATAATAAAATATTTAACAATATTTTATTATTAAGACACATCATTTCATATGTTTGTACACATTGTTACTAATTACTTTGTTGGATCTACATGAATTTAAGATAAGATACTAAAAGAATATCACAACTACAAAAATTAAATTACTTCTCCAATTTACATTTTTTTTATTTGTTTAATTATGCTTTCCAAATGCAATTTGAAAAAGTTTTACAATTTAATTGTAGCAATTTAGGAATAAGAAAAAATGCAACAGAAATCTAATGGATTATATTTAGTTATTTCATTTAAGGAACTCATGTTACAAGGAAGAATACAAGTTGTAAACTTTTAAATCTTTTTTACGAACTCGATGTGAATTGGAGAAGTAAATACTTTTAAACATGGCCAAATTACTTGCTTATTATATAGAATGGATTAATAATGTTAAAATTAATGAAATTATATTTAATATGTAATTCATTTAGAAATGAAAAATTTGAATGATGAAACATACACATAACCTATTATAGTATAACGTGTCGTAAAAAGTTACTATCAATTATGCCAGTTTTTCAGGAATCGTGTGCAGAGGTAGTGTTTGCAATAACACTATAATAATTTCTATATTATGCTTTATGCACATTTATATAAATATGTTCTAGCAAATACAAGCACAAACGATCATTATAATTCATCCTGGATCCATGTATCTTAGGATGGGACGAGCATCTGATTTAAATCCTTGCACAATATTAAATGCTGTTGCGAGGAAACGTTTACAAGGAGGATTAGAATATAAAGACAGTTTACTACCATCAGCTATACCACGAGTATGTTCTGTTTGTAGATGATATTTGTATAAAGATATCATTTTTAATTGCTTTTAGTAGACAAAAGAATTGACACAAGCAATGGAAGAATCTCGTCTACAAGTGTCACATACATTACAATCTTGTCTTCAGTCTGATGGGAGAAGAAGATATGCAACACCACCTCAGCAAATAGCTGCCTTTAATCGTAGATCAAATCCAGAAATATCGTCTCCATGCAGTGTTGAATGGATAAAAACAGATAAAGATGTTGTAGTTGGAGATGATGTGTTATCATTAAATCCAGATGATAATTTTAATGTTCATTTCCCATATAGGAGAGGAGAGCTTAATATTCATACTGGCCCTGGTGGTAGTCTAAGATCTGTTATGGCTGATTTAAAAACAATTTGGGAATATGTGCTTACAGACAAAATGGACATTCCATTAAGAGATTTAAAACATTATCGAGCTGTCCTTATAATTCCTGATATTTATAACAGGCAATATTTAAAAGAATTAACAACTCTAATGCTTTGTGATATTGGATTTGGGGCATGTTTTCTATTACAAGTTGGTATTAGAACATTTTACAAATTTATTAAATATCCTATTACTAATACATTAACATTCTACTATATTATAAAGGATCATGTAGCGGCTACCTTTGGCGCAGGTCTTGGATATGCGTGCGTGGTCGACGTTGGAGATCAAAAAACATCGGTTTCTTGCGTAGAAGACGGAATTTCTCACAGAAATACAAGAGTACGAATGGATTATGGTGGAGGAGATATCACACAAACGTTCTTTTGGTTACTTCAGAAATGCGCCTTTCCTTACAAGACATGCGATCCAGCTAATAAATTGGATGCGTTACTCTTGAGTCAATTGAAAAAAGATTTTTGTCACGTTGATTTGAATGTATGTGGATCTCAGGAAAAGACTTTTATAGTTCGTAAACCGAAACAACAGACCGAGAAATATACTCTTCAAGTTGGTGATGAATGTTTGGTTGCACCTCTGAGTTTATTTCAACCTGAATTATTTAAGGTTACTGGAACGCATAGTGTGCATATACAAAAAAGATCAATGGGAGATCCAGAAGATCCGCATGATGAAAATTACCTACGAGAAACGAGTGTATGTAACGTTACATAGAAATATGGCTATACTTATTCTTCTAACATGAACGTTAGTTTCATTACTGTTTAGAGAAGAGGCATGAAAGAAAATCTTGAACAAACATCTGAAATGCAAGAAGAAGCAACTGTACCAACTGTAGCAGGGGAAGAAGAAGTAGTTGTGGATGCCGTAGATACGGCACCGATTACTTTATCGAATCGTGATCTAGATGCTCCACGTGATTTTGTAGTAGGTCCTCAACAACTATTGGGTCTCGATCATGCTGTACTTCAAAGTATCGATCGCTGTCGTACGTAAATATATTCGATTCAACAAATGTATTAGAAATACACAATATAATTTAATCATCAAAGTGTAATCATTTTCATAGCTACAGAAGATCTAAAAAGGAAAATGTATAGTTGTGTGCTAGTTGTTGGTTCAGGTATGAAATTTCAAGGCATAGGCATGTGGTTACACAATCGGATCTCTCTTCAAATTCCCTATATGTATAGAGCAGGTATGTATCTTCGTATAATAATTTAACTGCAAGGATATAAAATTTCTTTTTTATAGAACAATTGGATATTATAACACAACCAAAAGAAATGGACCCAGGTATGACTACATGGAAAGGGGCTGCGATTTTAAGCTGTTTAGAATCTGCTCAAGAATTGTGGATAGGTCGACAAGAATGGGAACGTACAGGTGTTAGAGTATTGAGAGAAAGAGCACCTTTTATGTGGTAAAAGTGGGTGCATTAAAAATTCTTAATTAAGATTTAAGTATCAAAGTATTAAATTTTAAATTGGACATTTTTTATAGCCATGTATTATACATCATTGTTTACTACACAAGCATGTTTTTTAACGTTAAGCAATTCAAAATAAAATTTTATTGTAAAAGTATGATTTACATTATATGTATTACAATTATACCTATAACATATCCATTAGTCTAACTTTACTTTTATCATTTCTATGATACATAATTATGTCAGCTTCAATCAAAAAGTTCACAAACTCTAGAACATTTGGATTAACTTGTACATACATGTTGTCACCACCTTTTGTGTATGAGGATGTTAACTTCTGAAAATTCATATTTATTTATTTTCGTTATTAAACAGAAAATATAATTATGCAATTTTAAACATCAAGTAAATGCTTACTGCCAAAAAGTCTTTGACATCTTGATTTCCTGGGAACAAGCTATCCACTACCATATGCTAAATATTTTTATATGTGATTAAAATAGATTGAGTATAAATAAAATGTAAAATATATATTTTTTTTCCATCATACCAAATCATTTTTTGTAGCACGAAATATGCGTTTTGTTAAACGGTATTCTTTATCGTGGGTTCTATCAGTTGTTAATTGAGCAGCACTCAAGCAAGCTTCTTTCATTTTTTCAAAACCCATTTTTTTATTTTTCAGACTGAGAAAAAAAGTATAATTTTATATCAAAAGAAACCTATACTTTTATTTAAATTGTAACAAAGTAACACTTTATTACTATACGAACTAGGTTATGTCATCTTTAATATTCGAAAGTTCTATCTGCATATTATCATATAGTTTTTGAATATTTTGTACTTCTCTTTCAAGTTCTGCTAAAACTTCAACGTGTAAATCGGACGTTTTAGGAAAAGGAAAATCCTTTGGTTTTTCCTGAAGAATGTTATCTAACAGACATTTGCACAATACATGTTGCTTCTTTTGTATATCTTTTGAATTGCAACTATTATTCAAACTGCATATCTTATTGTTCGTAACTACATTCTCCAAGTCTTCTATTTCTTTCTGTCGTTCCATCTCCACATCTTTCAAATTTTCGAAAGCATCTTGCAACGTATATTCCATTCTTCTTATTTTTATTCAAAATTTATTACAACAATGAATTCTTTGAAGTAACACACAAAACTTAGATAAAATAGCGGGAAACCAAATATACCTGGTTTTCATCGAACGTTAAGCATTATATCAGTAACAAACTAGAGGGACAAAAATAGAAGATTTTAGGGCTGATAGAAACTGAATTGTAATTGGCGCATTTTGAAACGAGTCCTACACATGCTCCGTACGTTTGTAAATACGTGCGATGTCTACTAAAATTAAGGTTAAGTTAGTTTAACTGGTCAAAATGATATGCAGTCGAATGAATTTCGTTTTAAAACATGTTTATAAACAACCAATATGGAATTGCCGTTTGTGTTCAAAAATCTCGCAAGAAAGTAAGTATTTTAGAATTTTCATTCATCTTCTCGAATTAGAATATTTCAGTTCAAAGAAGGTTATATTTTTAACGTTGCACGGAACATCTTATTTTTAATAAATTAAATAATTTACAGTAGATGAAAAAGATCCTGCACCTTTATTTTTCGATCAACATGTACAAGAATTATTAACGACTCTGACGCGTATCAATTACGATAAAGTTTTTGCAACTCGAAAAGATGGCACAAAATTGGTGGTTCCAAAGTATAAGTTTATGACAGATGAGGAATTAAAAAATGCACAAGTTGAAATTGCAGTAAAGGCTAGAGGACGCATTCAGATGCCACCTGTTGTAAAAATGAGATCAGATGAGGAAGTTGTACTGTCAAATGATCCTGCTCTACAAGGTTTTCAGATGCACAACATTGTAGTTACTGATATATCTTTTGGGAACCAAAACAGAAATAGATTAATCGTAATCCGAGAACCGAATGGTAAATTGAGGCATGCAAAATCTGATGAAAGAAGACGTGTAAATCAAGTATATTTTCCTATAAATGGTAGAGAAATACATATCCCAAACATGTTCTACGATCCACATTTTAAGGTAAGAAAATTTCATTTTTTGCATAAAAGTAACCCTTTAATTTGTACATTATAGAAATTTGCAATGTATTTATAGGATTTACTGGAGAGGCAAGAATTTGAATTTATTTTAGATCGAACGTGTACGCAGTTTGAACCAGATGATCCAGAATACCACAGAATTACGAAGGAAGTGTATGAATGGGTGAATAAGTTGAAAAAATTTGACATTTTGCGTTCTACAAGACATTTTGGTCCATTTGTGTTCAACCTTGCTTGGAAGAATGATATTTGTCCATTATTAATGGAATTAATCACAAACAAGAATATAAAAGAAGCTGCTGCATTGATTCGGCTTTATCACAGGCTTCACCCTGAGGCAAAGTCACATGCTGAACCGATATTAGACGATATAGAATTAGTCCTAACATATGCGAAATTAGATTCGCCAGAACCACATAAACTAACACGTGCTATAGTGAATTATAACAAATTGCGGAAAGAGGAAGAAGAAATAAAACTGGGTGTAATAAAAGCGCATGGGTTGGTCGACGATACGGACAAACAAACATGAACGATTGTTCATGTTTGTCACTAGATCAACCTCTCTTGCTCTTTATTCTGTACAAATTCATTTCATTGCAAATAAATAAAATCGACATACAGTCATAACATAATTTCGATGATTATTAATCGATTATTTTATTACGTGATAGTTACTTACAAACATTTACAAATGTAACAAGTCAATTCGATTTGGCGTACAGGATCGTCGGAAAACATTACATATCGATTATTGGCTAATGTCTTGGAAATAACTGAATCGATTCTGGTTCCGCATCTCGCGGTCGATAAGTGTGGGGCCGATTTCACACCTTTCGAGATGGATATTATTGCCCAGCGTTGGGTAGACCATGGATCATGGATCATAGAACAGGTAGATTTGGAGGATGAGATGTGGCTTAGTTAAGTAAAACGGGAAACGCATACTTTCGTGAGTAAATAAATCGACGAACGAAGGAGGAAAGTGGAGTAAGGAGGGGGTTTGAATTAATGTGAAATGAAAGAGTGCGCGTTTGAGAGAAAGCAGCTTTGTACAAATGCAAATTATGCGACTGAAGACTGCGTGTAAGTACCTACTGTCGTGAATGGAACAATATACAAGTTCGACTTGAAGATCGAACGAGAAGTGCTTGTTCGTTGGGATCATGTACCGTCTTGATCGTTTAATGCTTTGATAAACACTCGCAACTGAATACTGTGATCGATCGTTATTATCCATATCTTACTCATATTACTCTTATCGTTATATGTATATTAATTATTACTTCCATATAGATGCGTTTCATGGTGTACGTAGAAAATAAATAAGAGCACGATTACGATCGGCGTAGTAGATGAAACTTCCTAATCGACTATCGAAAATGACGACGAAAGAAAGAGAAACCGCGCCAAGCAGTAACCGAGTTGAAAGAAAAATAAACGGAAAGGAAGAAGCACGAAATTGAACCTATCGGCTATTAGGCCTCTCGAAGCAAGGTATGCGCGTATCGATTATATAAATGTGTACCTCTGATTTCTGTCAAACAGTGGGAAGCACGATTACCTATTCCTTAGCTCTTCGTTAACCCGACATTTTTCTACGATCCCGATAACAAAGTAGCACACATTTCCTGCTGTCTACGCAAACGTTAATAACTAACGATATATCTTCGTCCTCTCCACTAGGTTTACTTTCTCGCCCTTCGTGCGTTCCGTTTCAACGCTGATATATTCTCGCCAAGAGATCAAGAGGTTTCTCGAAGGCTGACAGAAACATGGGATTCGCGCGTGACAACTGCGATATGCTCTATCAACGAACTGACGCGATTTAAGCGAATCAATTTAATCGGCTAATCGAATTAGGAATGAACGTTTGAGGCAAAGTGGCGCGACGTTGATCGGGGAATCGTTCCAAAAGTGTGACAGTTATGATAAGGTTATGTTTGCGTGTCGATCGATGGAACGGCGGCAAATTCGTGAAGTCGGCAAATGATGGATTCGAGAGGTCGCGTGCGTCAAATAATAATTTACAAGCCGATCCACGAGGTGTCGATGATATCTCGTTGAATATTCGCGAAGCGCAATGAACAGAGCACGCGTTCTGGAACGAATCCACGAGCAGTTTGATCATGTCGCGCACGCGTCGCAAACACTCGCTGTATTTTTCGATCGGTAAATATTGAGCAATGTTCCTTTCAATCTTGCCATTGTCCGTCGAAAAATCAATCTTCTCTAGGTTCACGGAATACCGTTAACCGAGACGCGTTAACCGACACGAGAAACGGTCGCTCTCCACCCTCGCGTTTTCGATCAAGGTTATGTCTCCTTCCGATCAAAGCTACTTAGAAACATATGAAGAATCTTTCACACACTGTGACTTACAAGTAAATATACGGAGAGATACGCGAGCGTACAGCTCGTTCGTTTAGCGTTGCACTTTGTGCGAGTTCGTACGTAGCCGGTTCTTAAACAGGAATAAACATTCGTCTTTGAGGTTAGTTTACGACACAGTGACGCGTACCATTATGCTCTTTCGCCTGCTGCTCCTCTACCTACCTAACTCTATACGCTTAAATACTCGTTTATATAGAAACTTCTCCTCTGCATTTCGCGTATATAAATTTCTCGTTCCTTTTTCGTAGATATAGTTAAGTATATTCATACGTATGCATGATAATTCAACGATCCCGTTCATAGTGACAGGCCGTCCGGTTTGTCCGTTCGCGGGTAAGTTAACGGAACTCGAAAGGAAAACGCGAGGATAATAAGAGCGACGATGACAAATCGTGTGGTTGAGAGAATTCGTGGCTTTTTCGCTCTTCGTTTTGGCACAATCGTCGCCAAATGGCGCGCGTCAGGTTCACGTTCGACGATAATCTACGTTGTCCTGCGACCAGGAACTCGATCTTCGAATCGTCGAACATTTTTCTTATTCCTAACGATCGTAAAGACGATCAGAGGCCACTTTCGGCCTCTCGACCGACGTTTCACGCCACTATTTATTATGCGTCCGGATTATGCGTTCCGAGAGAGAGATTGCGCTTTTCGTTTACGATTATTAATACTATATATCGTTATTAATTATGATAATCGATATTATAAATTACGCGTGACTCGCTAAGTTCTCTACGCTGTACTCTACTTTCCACCGACGAGGTCGCGCGTCTCCCGCGACTCGCCACGATCTAATCCTTCGATGAAATCGTCATTCATTCGTTACCAAAACCTAATCCATGTGTTCGTTCGCCTCGAGTTCTTATCGTTCCCATACGACTCATCGCGAATGCTCGCGAGGATCCCAGGGAAAACGCAGTTAACTCGCGAGCACGACTTCAGCAGCCACCTTTACGCTCGATTCGAGCAACGAGCGGCTTCTCGGTCACAGAATATCCGTCTCGTAAATCTTGCTAGTAGTGGTGGTGGTAGTCGCGCTCGCGACACCGCTAATAGACGTGGTCGTTACTATGGGAACGCTCGTGGACCCGCTAACAGACACGCTGACGGTCTGGCTGCCATTCGATTCGCTGAAGCTGGTCGTAGGTGTCACGCCTGTCGCTACGCTAGACGTCAGAATCGTGGTAGCCGCGAGTTGTGATTGTTGTTCTCGTGACTCTTCTGATCGCGTTCTGAGCCCGTCCACGGAGACCTCCTGAGAAACAGAGGGCTTCGCGGTCAGACTGGTCAAAGATCCCGAGCTAGCGGTGCTCAGTCCTAGGCCCATTTTGGCCAACAGATTGCTCTCGGAGCCTGTTTTCTTCAATAGATCCGGCGGCGCGGGTGGTATAGTGGTCAGACCCGCCGTGTTCCTCTGTAGCTGTTGAAGTCTCGCGTACTGCTCCTGCAAGGCTTTCTGTTTTCGCAACAGTTCTTGGTGTCGCTGCTCCAGCTGTTCCTGCCTGCCCTTCTTGCTCTGCAGACCCTCCTGCGAGTTCACGCTCTCGCAGGAACTCGAGTTACTGGTGGACAGCACGGCTGACGATTGAGAGCTGGTCGAGTTGTTATGTAGCACCGGGCTCGGCGTTGCCTCGAGCGTGGTCAGCCCAGTAACGGGTTGTTCGGTCGGTAAAGCCATAGGTGGCTTGCCCTCCTTAACTGGCAGAGTACCGCGTGCCGGTGGCCTTCGCAACGTCGCGTTCGCGCTCTGTAAGTTACAAGAATGATTTCTAGGTGGTAGTTGTGGGCTGGTAGGGCTGGCCAATGGCGATCTGGAACTGGTTCGCGGTGGCGGAGGTGGTGGTACTCTCCTCGCGCTGGCCAGTTGAAGCAATTCTGCGTTCCGCTCCGGCACCGGTGGCTTCTGTCCCGGGACGAATCCCTGTGGTAATGTAGGCAAGCTCGGTTGTTCCTGCAGGGACACCTGCAGTCTCGCTATAGGTGGCGACGTGTCCGTGTCCGAGCTAGACGGATAAGAGTGCAATCTGCGCAACGTTCCTCCTGCGTTCGGCGGTCCGCTAGTTGGCGCCAGTGTACCGCTGCTGGGAACGGTTCCACTGGATGAGTCCACGCTTCCCTTCCTTCCTATGTCGGAGATGCACGGTGGCCGGCCAGTCGTTCCGACGACCGACGCCCCAGCCGCCTCTCCTCTGCTTCCTGATCTGCCCAGCTCGGACAGCATCGTCGTAGATCCTTGGGCGTGACCGAGTTGCGAGCTCGGCCTCGAGAACGTCTGCAGCTCATCTAACAGAGCGTCGAGTGCGTTCTCCGGACGCTGCTGATGGGCGGTGGGTGGCTCGAGAGAGTGGGACCCTCCCCCGATGACGCTCGCTGACCCCACGACAGTGCGTTCCGCTGGCACAGGGGCAGCTGCCTACGTTCGACACGTGGACGATACCGGTTATCAAAGCCATTCCTCCTCTTCTTCTCTAAGAACGCGACGGTGCAGGTGTTTCCTCCGACGCGGCACCGAGGAAGCTCGCTCAACCAGAGCTCGTTCGGCGTTGCGTCTCGTACGGCGCGGATGGAGACCCGACCGATCGTCGAAAGTTGTCAAAAAGGTAGGAGAAAAAGAGAGTGAAAGAGAAAGAGATAGTATGGAAAGAAAAGAAAGTGTCCCAAAGGTAACCCTGATGTTTCATCGAAACCCCAAGTGTTATCGAGACCAACTTTCGGCGACGTCGAGGTGCGTCGTAGAGGGCGGTGCGTCAACGCGGGACTTGAATAGGGATTTGAACGCGTTCCGAGGAAACGCAGGATGATCATATCTCGTCGGTGTTGGTGAAACTCTGTTGGGACGCACCGCGATCTTACGACGTCTGATCGCGGATCGACCATTCGCTTATCGGCTACATCATGCCAGTAATAGTGAAATATGTGCGCGAATATGTATTGCATGCAAGGTGCTGGTGAGACAATGGTGAGCGATCGAGGGCTAGAGCGTGAGAGTGAGAAAAAAAAACGTGAGAAATAGGCGAAAAAAGTAGGATGACCGAGAAATCGGAAGGCGCGAGATCGATCGAACGATGCGAGTCGATGAGTCGTGAACGCATAGAAAGAATAAATCAATGGTAAATATACGTATTAATTCCGTTAGATAGTTACCTGCGGTCTGGGTTATACGTTTTGTGCGTGCGTTGTGCGTGTTACAAGTCAGTACTCGTTTGGGGCTCTTTTACATTTGGCATCGATTGTTGTCCAGTATTAGTCAACTTAAAAAAAAAAACAGAGAAACCAAAAATCAAAAATCCAAAATCAGATTGTGCCGTTTGATCGGCTGGCCGCGTGTTCGGTGTCGTTAGTACGCGAACAGATACCCTAGGAGGCGCCACGATCGGTGCGTCCAGCCGGCACTGTTTCGCGCTCTCGTCCCGCATTCATCATCCGTGTTCTCTTTGTCAGTCCGTGTACGAAAAAAGAAAGCCGTGCTGGTCGAGGCGCGTGCCCGGGCATCGACGAGATAATATTACTTCGTGGAAATATCCCATATGTCTCTAACGGAACGGAATAAGAGAGAGAGAGAGAGAGAGAGAGAGAGAGAAAGAGAGAGAGAGAGAGAGAAAATAAAAAGGAACGTACGTCATCGATTCCCAGAACGTCGATACCAGAAACGCACGCCACGAGGCCGTCCTTTCTGTTCGGCAAAAAACGAAGCTTGAAAACGGCATGCATGGCTACACACGCTAACTCGAACGTGCAGAGCGAACGGAGGTCGCGTGTTTGCGCGACTCCTGGTACGCGTGTACAGCATATATACGTTTACGTGCATGTCGCATGCTGCGCGAACGATGCGCGCGCATTCCTTTACGTATCACACGGAGGAACATGCTTTCAAAGTACAGACGAGTGGTTTATGGCCGAGAAAAGAAACACAGGTATATATATATATACACGGTATAAAAAGTAATGTACGAAAAAAAAGTTGGCCGATCAAAGATACACAGTCAAAACCTTTGGTCCAATCCTTATAGTAAGGCAGTACATATTTACGGACTCGAAAAGTCGAACAGAGAGAGAGAGAGAGAGACAGAGAGAGAGAGAGACAGAGAGACAGAGAGACTGAGAGAGAGACAGAGAGAGAGAGAGAGAGAGGCACGCGCACGCTGTTTCGCGCGTACGCGCGCGTGTAAATTAGTAGAGAGAGACAGAGAAAGAGAAATAAGAAATATAGAGACAGAGAACAGAGAAAAAGAGAAAGAGAGAGGAAGGAAGAAAAAGAGAAAAGGAACGTGTGTAAACAGACATGTGTATGGAACAAAATGGTGACGTCGAATCGATCCGTCTGACAGAGACGCGAGACAGGGCGAACGAAAATTTGAACGGTGAAGCAGGGGTGCCGGCGAGCTGCGAACCAATTCCAACAAGATTCGAAAGCAACGTGACTACGTGGTGGCGCGAGAGTCGAGCAGACACGGATGACCAAGAGAGGAAAAAAAAGGAGAGAAAAATTTGAGAAAGTAATAGAAAGTAGGGGGGCGAAGGATGATAATGGCGTGATGACGATGATCGAGTTGCGCGTACTAAGCACAGCGAAACGTCCCAAAACGACTGCAAAATTATAATTCGAACAAGCAACGAAACTCTTACGAAACGCTCGAATTTGTGATGAATCGTACAGGTTGATTTTCCGACCAATGACTCGACGTGCGTTGACGAGTAAAAGAAAAATGAAAAAAAAAGATAATGATTCCGATGGTCGAGTCATTGGACGTTCTCCTCGTGAAATCATCCTGTAACACGTACCCCGTTTAGAACATGGGCGCAAGCGTGGATTCGAGCGACGAGAAATTCTTTCTCTTCTCTCCTCGTAGATGGATGCACCGTACGATAGCGATAGTGCGAATGGTAACGAGAGAGGGCAGCAGGGTCGAGTGAGGAACGAGCAGTTGCGCCCTCGACGACGATCACGTGCAACTACACATACGTCACTGTCATCGTCGACGTCGTTGTCGTCGTGGTCATCGCCGCGAACATAAATCCCGGGAAATCCAATGTAAACCTTGTGTGTCGAGAACAGAGACGGGGGTACGGGGGCGGGGGGGTGTTACACCTTACTATAAGAAATGGATTGGAACGAGTGTGTCTGACGAGGCGAGATCGCAACTACTTTGTTTCCTTCGGTCTTAAAAGCCGGCGAAATAATGGCACCGTATCGAGTGCGGGACTCGAAAAACAACGTCCGATGTATCTAACAGACAAAACGTTGCAAAAGGTGTATGCATCTAGAGAGTAAACTGTAAATACAAGAGTACAGTGAGTAATAATAAGGAGGTTTGCGAGAAGGCCAAGTGAGAGCTCGTAAGGCGCGTAGCGCGTAGCACAGCCGAGGATTGCGCGCTCTTATAATTCCGTGATAAAAAGTTTCGTGCGTGTCGAATGTTAATTTTTCATATATATATATTTTCATTTTTTTTTTTTTTTAGCCGATACGAGTCGGATCTGAAAAGCGCTGGGACATAGCGGGAAACGATAATAAAGCTCTAGGTGTGTCGGTAAGATGCAAACAACGCAACGACGCGCGGCCGCGGTTGAGATTTGATGCGATTCAGTAGTATGAGCCGGCGCGGGTCAGACAACTCGGCGGATTCGTCCTTGATGCGAAGAGAGAGAGAGAGAAACTCATTCCCGTGTGCGCGCGACTGATACCCCCAAATCCCTTTCGTCGCGAGGCAGAACCGAGATCTGACAACCCCATATGAAGTATTCGCGGTATGATATATATAGATACGGAGCAACGACGACAAGAATTCGCTCGGCGAATACCTCGAAGAATTCCGCCAAACTTCCATAGAAACTTTGCTTTCTCTCTCGCTAAACGCCTAAGCCGTTCTTTCCACACGTTGTTTACGAGAGGAAAAGAACAAGAAAACGAAAAAGAAAAACGAAGAGAAAAAACACGAGACACCGGAAGAAATTTGGCAAAATGCTTCGAGACGTCGTGAAAGGATAAACAGTTATATGAACAGTATGACGATTTGTGCGGCAGACATCATACCGACAAAAGGAATATATATAATATATATATATAAACACGTGTAAGTGGAGCGTGTTCGGTAATGGTGGTCGTGTCAGTGTGTAATGCTTACGTGTCCTTGTGTGTATGTGCGTTGGGTATATGAATATTTATATATGTATATATATATATAGGTATATATATATATATAGTATATAAAATAGTACAGAATAATAATGGTAATAATAACGGTAATAATAATGGTAATAATAATAATAATAATAATAATAATAAAGTAGAAATATTAATAATAATAATTAATAATTTATAAATATGAATCAGTAAAAAATTACTCGTGACTGGTCTGTATGGCCTCCTTGAAGTTAGTACTCCACTTCCAGCCATACTAAAAAATTAATATCATTTTCACTATCTGTAGCCTGTAACCTGCGTTTTATAGTTCTTATTAAAAAGGAAAATAGAGATAGAGAGAAATATATATATATATATA